GGGGTTGGTTGGGCTCAGGACTGATGGGTAAAGGTTGAGGGCAAGGAGAGAGGGGGGAAAGGAGAAGGGCAGAGAAAGAGGTAGAGAACTCAGCTGAGAGCAATGTATCACCCAGGTACGACAATTTCTTCATTAACGAAGACACACAGACATCAGAGAGTGAGGTGGGATGGGGGGAGGGGGCGAGGGGGAGGTCTGCAAACACACCACCCCCTTCGATGCGCTGACTAGCTGTTCCAGATTTGACTACGTCTTTTTTGGGAGGTGGAACCTCATAAATCACCCAGAATGCTTTGCTCTCTGACTCACCATCATAACCGGGGTGTTTGCACTGCTGAGGCCGCTCTCTCTCTCTCTCTCTCTCTCTCTCTCTTCCACTGCCTGCTCTCTCTGCAAAATATTCCTGGAAACTGAGGGTTTATATCTATCTATCTATCTATCTATCTATCTATCTATCTATCTATCTATCTATCTATCTATCTATCTATCTATCTATCTATCTATCTATCTATCTATCTATCTATCTATCTATCTATCTATCTATCTATCTATCTATCTATCTATCTATCTATCTATCTATCCGTCTATTTATCTATTCAGCTCTCCTTGTGTTTTCAGTATACAGGAGAGGCACCTAGGGCACCACTATGAAACTATACACAAATAAGTTAACAAGAGGACTTTCTACTGTCTGGTTGGAGTTACCTGACCCCTTAGAACACCATTGAGCTTATCAAAACTCAAGTGACCTCTTCTGTTTGGGACACACAGACCAGCCCTCCACAACCTAGTGCCGGGCACACTCTGAAGAGCGTATTTGGACCACACACACACACACACACAATTAACGAGGACCAACAGAGACTGCAGGTCGTAGCGATCGAAGCAAGCAGAGAGGCTAACACGCTGTGTACTCAGCTCTCTGGATGGACAAAGCTTTCAGCCACTGAACTACTGTCTGTCTGTCTGTCTGTCTGTCTGCAGCTATACACACATCCCATAACAGAGCAGAGAGGGCCTAACTCAGCAGGACTTATTTACCACTGGAAGACTGAGCAAAGACCAGCATGTGCTGCCCAATCAGCAAACGTCCTCACTGAGTATCCAGAAATACTCACGCACAAGCAAATGCACACACACACAAACACACACACACACACACACACACACACACACACACACACACACACACACACACACACACACTGAAGACACAAGTGAGATACTTTCACACACCTTTATTATTTTATACAACATGAACCAGCACAAACTATAGTTTTCATATATTCAACGCAAAAAACCTTGGACATCCCAGTCCTTTCAATCATAAGCTGATCCCATGTAAAAGCCAGTGCTCCCTGAAGTACCAATAAAGTGGACAGAGGTATGGAGTTTGAAGTCTTGCACACAGGCCTGCTGTCCTCCAGCCTACTGCAGTCTGGATGTCACATTGCTGCTTCGTTACTGTTTGCCGGTGGCTCTGTGACCCTGCAGCCTTCATTTACACCCTGGTGTGGAACCCTCCATCACTGTCCAGTCCTGGGACAGGTCCCCCGCTCTGCTCCCTGAGCCTGTCAGAGAAAGTATGCAGAGAGAGAACGGTGACGTCATCATTCAGTACATATCAACCTAACCTAATGCCTATCATGACGAAGGTGGAATATAAGAGTTGAAAGTGTATGGGTATACCTATGATGGGTATTCATGGTATTGTGGTGATCCTCGCTCTATGAGCCACATTGAAATTCCTACCAAGTGTGTGAACTTCATTGGCATAATGCGTCTTCATTGGCATAATGCGTAGGGTGTTTGCCTTTCACGCCAGCGACCCAGGTTCACTTCCTTGCCCCGCCGGTCACTATAGTATAATACAGATGAGAGGATGATATGCTCCAAATTAGATTCACCCAATACACTAGAAGACACAATATGAAAAACGTACATTTCAGGGACACATAAAGCAAAACAACCATGGAAATGGAGAGTTAAAGTTCTAAATAAAACTTTGAGGCATTATTGCTTTCCATTTTAATTCTCTCCCTGGTGCGAAGCGGTCTGGCATGTTGGCATTCGGCATTTTGGGTTGATATACTTTTTTTGTTTAATGACAGACAGGCAATTGTAAACGTGTTAGCCGTGTGTCACACCTTCATGAAGATTGTCACAAAGACGTGTCAGCGATGGAAACCCCTCAGACGGATTCCTCAATCTGAATGGTTCCATCTCTACGTGTCATATCAATTACACAAGACAATTCACTTAGCATAGCTGTGTTGGCACTGGTATTTATAAAACACTCCATACAGCAGCTCCAAAAGATGATTGAATTTGGGAGCAGGAGACCACAACATCAGTGTAGGCAATGTGTGATAGGTTATGTGTAGGTTATGTGTGATAACCATAGTACTTATTTTCAAGTTATTTCCTCACAATTTGGCTCTTTATGAAAAACTGGCCTCTCGTTTGTTGTGACTGTGTGTGAGTTATTTTTTAGTTGTGATGTTAAAGGTTATGACACAAGACTTATCTGTGTCAATTAATGGCAGTTGAAGTAGGCTATGTATTCACCTTAGTCCTGAAAAATATAATTTATGCTTTCATGCCGACATGGGTCTCACTCTTTGGCTTGCAGTTTTATATTATAAACTTAAATATGACATGGGCTGAAATTTATAGATTCAGTCCCTCTTCACCTTTTAGGAAATGGAAATTGTATGATTGTAGACAGTAATGTGGTGGGTAAGAAGTAGCTAACGTAGTGGCTAATTTCATTGACTCTGAATGCGACTGTAATTGACACACTGAAGTCATATTTGAGAAAACAAAGGAACTTTTAATTTATTATTAAAATGACATAAATAAACATAAACTCTGAATGAGTCCAACAAATACAAATAGAATAGATATGTACATATGATTGGCAGGGAGGGAATGTACACAGAGCGAAGGAGGAGAGACATCTGTTCTTTCTCCTGGGCTGCTGTGGGAGGATACAAGGCACTTTCTTTCTTTCTATCTTTCTTTCTTTCCTTCTTTTTCTTCAGGCCATGAAAAGCAACACACTGACACTGGATCCAAAACAGTTAAATGTAAACGGCTAACAATGAAAATGGATGTTAATTTATACTGAACAAAAATATAAATGCAACATATAAAGTGTTGGTCCCATGTTTCATGAGCTGAAATAAAAGATCCCAGAAATGTTTATGTGTCATTAATTAATTAAAATTAGAATTAAATACATAAATGTGTTATTAAATGTGTCATTAATTAATTCAAATACCGATTCATTTTATGTAAAATACATATATAATAATTTCACTATTTACATTTACATTTCATGGTCCTGCGTTGGAGTGCTTCCTGAATTACTTAAAACTGTCAAACTGACCCATCAAAAGTTGGTAGGCGGAACCTAACGCCTGATTGGTTACCCTCTGCATCAAGCCAAGACAAATCAATTCCGGATAATGTCAGCAGGTCCTGCTTCTACATCCTCTGCTAAGTTTAAAATGTCTCTAACCAACTCCCTGGAAAGTTCACGGAGATCCTCCATTGTCTCTATCCAGGTTGGCCTACTCTACTTCAGACCAAAGCAATGGATCAGACTAGATTCGCGTTAGCCCCGCCCACTGACTTTGATGGGTCAGTTTGACAGTTTTAAGTAATTCATGAATCACTGCAATGCAGGATCATGAAATGTAAATACGCACAAAAAGCATATTTCTCTCAAATGTGTTTACTTCCCTGTTAGTGAGCATTTCTCCCCTTTGCCATGATAATCCATCCACCTGACAGGTGTGGCATATCAAGAAGTTGATTAAACAGCATGATCATTACACAGGTGAACCTTGTGCTTGGGACAATAAAAGGCCACTCTAAAATGTGCAGTTTTGTAACACAATGCCACAGATGTCTCAAGTTAAGGGTGCGTGCAATTGACATGCTGACTGCAGGAATGTCTACCAGATCTGTTGCCAGATAATTTAATGTTCATTTATCTACCATAAGCCGCCTCCAATGTCATTTTAGAGAATTTGGCAGTATGTCCAACTGGCCTCACAACCGCAGTCCAGGACCTCCACTTCCGGCTTCTTCACCTGCAGGATTGTCTGAGATCAGCCACAGCTGATGAAACTGAGGAGTATTTCTGTCTGTAATAAAGCGCTTTTGTGGAGAAAAACACATTTTGATTGGCGCCCCTGCCCAGTCGTGAAATCCACAGATTAGGGCCTAATTAATTTATTTCAATAGACTGATTTCCTTATATGAAATGTAACTCTGTAAAATTGTTGAAATTGTTGCATGTTGTGTTTATATTTTTGTTCAGTATATTTTATATACACACATATACATTTTTTATGTTAGATCACCAGATTATTTCATCTTATTTATCTGTATTATAATAATTACAACACTAATTGTAACAATAAACAGTCAAACATAAGGATTGGCCCCTTTAGTAAAGTTGAGGGGGTTACTTCATAAACTTAGCTTTGGGTAGCTAGTGATCCTGATTGTCTTACGCCAGCGTACGATTGTCTTTGAGTACTGTGTCTGTACTGAAGGACACGACTACAGTAACACACCAGCAACTGGAACGATTGCGGAGGAAGTATCTTCAGATTGTCTTTGGCTTGTAACTGAACCTTGGAGAGAGTGAAGGAAACTCCCAAAGGAAAAACACATGCCTCTTCCACTGAGACAGCAAGTGTGTAACTTAAGAATGGCAACCTATGGACTTTGGCTTAGAAAGTCTAGAGTCTTTGAAATGGAAAACCAACCATGTCATGTTGGTGAAACACAAGGCCTGAGAGGACCATACATCTCTCTGCTTCAGATAGATCTTATTCTGAGTTGACTCTCTGCCTTTCACAGGCGTTGCTGTCCACATGTACTGCATCAACCCAAAGGTTTCAGAGCTGATAGTCAGGCAGTAGAGAGGAGAGGGAGGTGATGTGGAGCAGGATGGTGGTTGTCTGATGGAGGATGCATTGTGCTCAGTAGCTCTGAGCCACGGGTGCCCAGGAGGCGGTGAGCCTGGCGATGGAGCTTTCGAACTGGGCCTCGCCCACTCCTACACCCACCTCACTAAGGCTGGGGTCGTACATGGAGGATGGTGAGGATACGGGCAGGGAGGAGGTCAGGCCTGTGTAGGAGGAGCCTCGCAGGAACTGGTTGGTCAGGCCGCCAGCGATGGAACCAGAGGCGGAGCCGGAAGGAGCTAGGGTCGTCCCGGCAACAGACCATAGGCTAGGATACTGGCTGTAAGGAGAGAGAGAGAGTGAGGATTGGGTTTGATTAGAAATCTGGGCCTAGTAAAGGTCTAGGCCTAGGGCCCAGAATGTTTCCTGATCAAGTCATGTAGTCAGGAAAGTGCGGAAAACTAAACAGTGATATCAGAAACGTATATACGATCAACTATGACCATGTGTTGCCATACCTGGAGTTGGATGTGGAGTTGGTGGTGTGGGACAGGGTTCCCATCCCAGTGGAGTTAGGGATCTGCAGGGCTGACCAGCTGTCATGGCTGGGCAGGGCTCCCGACGAGTTGTCCATGTAGTTGTCTAAACAATAAAGTACATAGAGAAATGATTAAAAACAGTATACGAAACATTTCTCTGATCAAAACAATGAATTTCCTTTACGGGTGATTTCTCAAACATATTTTATTAACCAACATCTTGAAATCCCCATGCTGTACCTATGGGTCTGACTAGTGATCAGAATAAACAGTAAACAGTGCATTCACAGAGTGCTGGGTTGGGTAGAGGAGGTTCTTACTTGAGCTGGAGGAGCGGTGTGGGTAGTGGCTGGGGTAGGGGGCGGACCTGTGGCCCCTCAGGCTGGAGTACCTCTCACAGTAGGACCCTGAGGAGTGGCCAGGGGCCCCACTGAATGGAGGGGGGCTGCTGCTGGAGCACATAGGGCCGTTACCAGGTAGGAACCAACCACCAACTGAAAGGAAGAAAATAATGAAAATGGTTTTGTTAATACGGTTCCTTTTTTCATACTGTTCTCTATGTACAGTTTCCTTGGGGACATGGAAGGCTTTGAAAATGAAGATGTATGATGATCATTATTTTCTGAATGTTTAAGAATAGTGTGTTTGAAAATTATGTGAAATATAATGACTTGGTTTGATTGTTGGAATTGAAACGGAGCGGTATAGAAAGAGTTTCTGTAATGTGGTTGATGTTGCGAGACTGAATAGAAGACTTACGTTGAGAATAACCAGACTGTTGACTGTCTCCACCATGATCTGGCATGTCTTTATGGTCGCTCCTAAAATTGAAAACATAACATCAGAATTGGCACACAAAATCTAATAAATACATAAAAAGCATATTGCTGACACAATATCAGTCTCTTCCTCTTACCTCTCTTTGGCGTCGAGGAAAGCTTTAGCGAATGGATTGTGTTTGATCTTCAACGCAGTTATCTAGAAGGTACATAAATATGACAGCTAATATTATTTTCTTCCTTCATTGTAAGCTGAACACAATATAATGCTTTTTTTATTGTGAGCAATGATTATCTCTGTGACTGTGTTATTCAGGCCAACTGACCTCTTCATTCTGGTAAGCAGTGACAGCAATGAACTGAGTCTCAGGGAAAGACTGGCTACTGATCATCTTCTGGATCCCTCCAACCTTCACAATGTGTATCCTGGGCTCATACTTGTGCAGAGAGTTCAGCATGATCTAGAGAGAAATTATACATTATTTTAATCATATCCAATAAAGTACAATCAACAACAAAGATCTAAAACACACACTCAAAATTAGTAAGATAGCAGATCAATGTGGTCCAACAGATGCCTAATAAAAAATTGTGAAGTTGATTTGCCATGAAATGGACACCGTTTTCCCCCAGAAAAGGCCTAACTTTGTAATTCAGCACAGCATCATTAGCTCTGAGAGAGCAGGGCAATCTGAACTAGCCTACCAAGTTGTCTTTAAATTGATTTACCTTTTTTTTTTTTTACTTATTTAGCAGACGCTCTTATCCAGAGCGACTTACAGTTAGTGAGTGCAAACATTATTCTATTTTATATATATTATTATTTTATTAATTTTTTACTGGCCCCCCGTTGGAATTGAACCCACAACCCTGGCGTTGCAAACGCCATGCTCAACCAACTGAGCTACATCCCTGCCGGCCATTCCCTCCCCTATCCTGGACGACGCTGGGCCAATTATGCGCCGCCCCATTGGTCTCCAGGTCGCGGCCAGCTACGACAGCGCCTGGATTCGAACCAGGATCTCTAGTGGCACAGCTAGCACTGCAATCCAGTGCCTTAGACTACTGCGCCACTCGGGAGATAAAGATTTACATAGTAATAAATACGCATACTGCAAATACAAACAAAGAAAATTGGGGCCTTACCTGTCCTCCCCCGTTAAGTTTATTGGACAGTTTCACTTTGCTGAATGAGACAGGCGCTTTCATCCAGTGTGCTCCGAAGTTTGGCGAGTCTGGGTGGATGTAGACGCAGCTAGGGCTCTGTGGCTCGGGCTTGCCACCGGGAACCCACTCGCCATTCACGTACTTCCACCGGTTGTTGTCTGCAGCCACGAAGTCCAATAGGACTGAATACATGGCGTTGGGGTCCAAGCCGCTCACATTCGCTCTGAGCACTGGAAACATCCGCCTGTAGGTTAAAATAACGTTGTTAAAATAAACATATACCCTAAGCAAGCACAAATATTATGTTATGTTGACTCAGCCGTTGGTCTTTATGATTGAATTATTTGGCAGGTATATTTATTTGCATTAAAAAGGGTGCCACTTCGGGGCACTTTACTTTATCCTAATAATAGGTTTTATAAGATTTGACAACCGTTGCGCTTTAGGCCTAATTATTGACATGGTATTCAAGTTGCCACAGTGAAGCATAGATGGGGCCTATAGCCAACACATTCTCATCCAGACTATTCTGAAAGGGTGAACATGTCTGTTGCATATCTAACCTGGGCGCATCAGTTCGTAAAGTCGTGCGTAAATGCGCGCTACGATCTCTCCAGATAAACTTTGCTTTTAATGAGGCAGACCAATAGGCCTCGAAGGCCTCATTTTGATCCGTAGCTAACAGCAAAATAACAACCATAGCCTACCTGCCAGTCTTGGTGACGATCATTTCGTTGGTTAGTTCTTTAAACTTGGTCCATAATTCCGCGTCTTCTAGTCCCAGTTTAATATCCCTCTCCGAGGCGTCTCCTTTCTCGCTCCCCCTTTGAAACTCGCTCTCCACAACGCTCAGAAGGTGGTCAAGCCGCTGGTCGGAGTTTGAAGAAGTCATATTTCCTATAGGATGAGCTCGTGTGGAGTTCCGCGAATTTTACCGTTAAAATAGGATTCCCTGTTTCTATATTAGTTTTGACAGCGAGATAAGTACTACTGGCTTGGGAGCCCAAGGCCTGATCATATAAGGCCCCCCGGGACCACATGGGGATAGGGGCGTGGCGTTGCGTTCTAGACCACGCCCCGTTGGCCTAATGTTCTGGTTTCGAGCGTCTCTTCGATGTCCCCAAAGCAAAAAGGCCCATCATAATTGCGTCAATACAACATTTATAATTGTACCTATAGGCCTCTAGGCCTACTTTAAACAGGGTCATGTTTGAATAAGAATAACTTATTCGCTGCCTTTTCCTTTAGGTTTATAGCCTACATTACCTAGGCCTATGCATTTTCTAAAAAAAAAATGGATATTCGTTTCCTCTTGCATAGCCTAATACATTTTTGGAGCTGTTTATATTTCAAACATTCGTTATGTATCTTAAAATACCCTCTCACGAAAAAAAAGACATGTTAAAATGTTATTAGGCCGTATTGCCAATAGCATAGAATATGTTTATGGTATTAAACATAGTTGATTAGTATCCTAGGTTATATCATCTATTTGTCAGAGGGGAAAAAACATCGTTGGATGATTAGGCCAAACTAATTTTTTGAATCTTTGCATAAAAACAAAAGAAGGGAAGAGACAGGGCGACCGGCACCAGCCACGGTGCCTTTGAACTCAGTTGTATATTTGCGAATAATGCTAATCTTTTGTTGTACCAAATACACACGTGAGAAGTGTAGTGTTGACTGTAGCCAGGCCATTAGGCTGTTCCTCTGTTCCTGTACGTGGCGAAGTGTGGATAGCCCCGAGGTGACATCAGAGATCTGCCGAATGGGGCGACTGTCTGTTTCTGATCTCACATCCACTCTCACTAACATCGAAGAAACATTTATTCACACTTCATTGTAAAAGTATTAGACTTCTTTATCATTAAGATCGGGGGTTGAGATTATAGGGGATTCATATTTTTATCCTATTCAAAATTATGTCATCTGCCTTTTTTTCTCATCCTGATAACATGGTCAGGAGCAATGTCTGTAGCCTAATGTCTTGTTGTATACATAGGCCTACTTAAACAATATAGTGGTATCAATTATCATAATTTCATATTTTGTTCCAGTTTATTATTTTCTTATCCATTTAATTCAATTTATATATTTTGACATGTGGTTTCCTGAAGATTACTCCAAATGTTACACATTCATTTCAAGATAGGTGAGGTCTTGAATCTGTGTCCCTCCTTATAATGTCAGAAGATTTAGGAGGGAACTTGTGTGGCTAAAGTCTTTCCTGATGCATGAAGGTTATATTAGCTCTAACAGTTACCATTGATCCTGAGGGAGGCAGAACATGGTTGGTCTGTGTGTTCTTGTGTTCCTGTCTGCTCTGTCTCTGTGATGTACTTGGAATTGAGTGGGTTCTGTGGAGCGTGACCCCAGTTTACTACTCTACTTCCTGCAGCTCTACAGAGGTCATAAATGTGAAGGGGTTCTCTCACACCTTTCAATCCCATATCATTCGGCTGCCTCTTCTTTTCCCCCTCTTTATTTTGAGGCCTGAAAAGAGAGAGAGAGAATTTCACCACCAGCTACATAATACAGGACTGTTCCCCATCCCGACCAGGCCCTCTGTCTCAGCTCCTCACTACTATCCCCCACCCCCAACACACACACACACACATGGACGCACGAAGACACACAAACACACACACACACAAGAATAATCATATATCTGCCAAAACTGACAACTGAGTTTAGTTTGAAAGCTTTTAGTAATTTCTTAATTAAAAATGCTCTGAGTTTTGGCCATACACTACAAAACACAAATCATGGGTTCAAAGTGAAAGTTCGGGTTCTAGGTCTCTGTATTTAATTAAAACCTTGGTGTTGAGTTGTACTGTATGGGTGCTGTATTACTCAACCAATAATACATCTGAAAATAAGATAAATGTAATTAATGAATTTCTAATGTATATGTAAATGTTATTTGTAAAATAGTGTTCCCATAATCTCCTTGGCCTTGTCCATTTGGTGACGTGAGGGTTAAACCATCCAGTCTCCTCAGGCATCAACACACACTCACCTAGGTGAGAAATATTACAGAGGCCTGGTGCTTCACAAAGGGACAGTTATAAGGCCAGGCATATTTTCCAGAGGACTTCGTCTTCGTCTTCACTGGTCAAAATAAGTAAACACAGAGACAGGAATGAGTCAGCCCTGAGAAGAAGAAACTACACACACACCACAGGAGGTTGGTGGCACCTTACTTGGGGAGGACGGGCTCGTGGTAATGGCTGGAGTGGAATTGGTGGAATGGTATCAAATACATCAAACACATGGTTTCCATGTGTTTGATGCCATTCCATTTACTCCGTTCCAGCCATTACTATGAGCTGTCCTCGTCTCAGCAGCCTCCACTGACACACACACACATCCTTTCATCCTCCTCTCTTTGTCTGTTTCAGGATATAAGGTAACAGATATAACAGTACTGTAATAACATGAAAGAACATGCTACTTCCCATGTCACTGTCATTTAAGCAGACTCTTCTAGCTCCACCATAGAACTATATGTCTGTGTTTTCTTCTTTTGTTTATCGCCGATAATTCAAGGTGGGTTTGAGTGAAGCAAATTTTGGGTTTCTATTGCGGTCGTTGTATTGTATTTTAATGGTACTTTATTAGTGGCTGGTGTAACTGTGGCTCTGTGTGAATGAGGAAAGGTGTTGTTGTCCATAGGGACCGATAGGATCTGAGTGAAGTACACCAATAGCCACTTTCCTTTCCTAAACCCACAGCGTAACCCTCCTCCTACCCCCGTCCCCTACCCCCCTCCCTCCCAGCCCTCTCTGATGTGGATTGAGCCCTAAGATGTGTCTGTCACTTTAGCGTTTTTGTTACAAGTTCAGGAAATCTAAACTTTCCTCTTCTAATCACCCAGGCCTTTGAAAGGGATAAAAAATAATTAGTGGGGACAGTAATTGCCCCCTCTGCCCCTCCCCCCCCCCCCCCCCCCCCCCCCCTTATCCATACCCCCCACCCCCACCCCTACCCCCCTCAACCCTCTAGAAGACTAGTGGAGGTGGAGGCACCGTAGATGAGACCCTTGGACCTTTGGGATGCTAATGCCAACTCAGCTAATGCCAGTTCAGCTCAGGCTCAGCTTTGACACGACAGATGAACTTTCTCTGTAGAGTGGTTGCTTCTGACTGGGGATACTGTAGTAGGATACTGTAGTAGAATACTGTAGTAGGATATTGTACTAGGATATTGTAGTAGGATACTGTAGTAGGGAAGGTGTTAGAAGATCAGCTTTGGTAAAGCTAGGATTCTAGCTACTAGCTATAGCTAGGCCACTGTGACTGGACTGAGTTCACTTGACAGCTAGTTTTATAAATGTCTGCCACACATGCTCACATAGTGAAACATACAGGGATGTTGCCTCTGCGTATTGAAACATGTCGGTATTGTGGTGAAATGGAAGAGGAAAGACTATGTAACTATTGTGACCTCTAAGAAATAGAGAATGAAACTAATGTTATCCTCTATTGACCTTTCTACCACGATATACACTTGCTCTTATTCCAGACAGCACACCAGACATACCCTGGCATTATGTGGCTGAGCGATGAGGAGAAACGTAAAACATTTTTTGTCCATTGTGTATTTCCGTTTGCGGAATATTTAGATAAAGCCTGGAATAAAAGAAAAAGGGCTGCCTATAATTAAATTATAAAGATATTTAGCTTCTATATGCTAAATGATACGTGTGTATATATATTGTGTAAAGGCTTGTCTCCAACATTAATATTCTCTTTGTGCCAGAGTGGGTTCAAATGCCTTCTGTTTCATTTTTCTGTATTTATTTATCTGTATATGTTATGTACAGTGAGGGAAAAAAGTATTTGATCCCCTGCTGATTTTGTACGTTTGCCCACTGACAAAGACATGATCAGTCTATAATTTTAATGGTAGGTTTATTTGAACAGTGAGAGACAAAATAACAACAAAAAAATCCAGAAAAACGCATGTCAAAAATGTTATAAATTGATTTGCATTTTAATGAGGGAAATAAGTATTTGACCCCTCTGCAAAACATGACTTAGTACTTGGTGGCAAAACCCTTGTTGGCAATCACAGAGGTCAGACGTTACTTGTAGTTGGCCACCAGGTTTGCACACATCTCAGGAGGGATTTTGTCCCACTCCTCTTTGCAGATCTTCTCCAAGTCATTAAGGCTTCGAGGCTGACGTTTGGCAACTCGAACCTTCAGCTCCCTCCACAGATTTTCTATGGGATTAAGGTCTGGAGACTGGCTAGTCCACTCCAGGACCTTAATGTGCTTCTTCTTGAGCCACTCCTTTGTTGCCTTGGCCGTGTGTTTTGGGTCATTGTCATGCTGGAATACCCATCCACGACCCATTTTCAATGCCCTGGCTGAGGGTTCTCACCCAAGATTTGACGGTACATGGCCCTGTCCATCGTCCCTTTGATGCGGTGAAGTTGTCCTGTCCCCTTAGCAGAAAAACACCCCCAAAGCATAATGTTTCCACCTCCATGTTTGACGGGGGGATGATGTTCTTGGGGTCATAGGCAGCATTCCTCCTCCTCCAAACACGGCGAGTTGAGTTGATGCCAAAGAGCTCGATTTTGGTCTCATCTGACCACAACACTTTCACCCAGTTCTCCTCTGAATCATTCAGATGTTCATTGGCAAACTTCAGACGGGCCTGTATGTGTGCTTTCTTGAGCAGGGGGACCTTGTGGGCACTGCAGGATTTCAGTCCTTCACGGCGTAGTGTGTTACCAATTGTTTTCTTGGTGACTATAGTCCCAGCTGCCTTGAGATCATTGACAAGATCCTCCCGTGTAGTTCTGGGCTGATTCCTCACCGTTCTCATGATCATTGCAACTCCACAAGGTGAGATCTTGCATGGAGCCCCAGGCCGAGGGAGATTGACAGTTCTTTTGTGTTTCTTCCATTTGCGAATAATCGCACCAACTGTTGTCACCTTCTCACCAAGCTGCTTGGCGATGGTCTTGT